ATCTAAAAAGGTCTCTGAACATCGAATGAAATGGGAGTGCTCCTTCAAGCCTGAAAAGTTACTGATGTACCAACCAGAGTCATCCGAAAAGGATCTGAGTTATGTCGCTGCTGGTGATAGGAATTTGAAGTCGTTACAGGATAGCTCCATCTGTAAGGTGATTTATAGAGCTCCCTGCGGAAATGCAGACTCTTGTAGTCAGAACAGAGAAATAAATTTTTCGATATTACGTCGATCTGTCACTCTTCTGCGCAAGAATGCTTAGCCCCACTAAACCTTCTGCAATACCAAAGGGCAGGTCATGTTAAAATCGATGTCATTCTCCTTTGATAACGACTTAGTGAGCTCAGAGAGGATTGAAATGGCTTATCCAATGAGTGACGTGAATATCAAGTGACACACCGGCTCATCTCGTCATCAAAGCCATCAGTGCTGATAAATTAAAATAAGCGAATGGATTTGGACTTTGCTCAGCAGCTACCCACGCAGCCATGGGGATTATGCCCCCAAGACCAGGGCTTCCTATCTAAGGGAATTCTCAACAGGCAAAGGTCGTTCCATACTGCTAGGGAGAGAGGCATATCGTGTTGAGCTCCACAGGAAGTGTCCTCTTCATTGTTGATTTGTTCCGTTTTAGGCTCATTAGTTACGGTGAAGAATCTACTTCCCATTTAGACGGGATTGATGTATTTGCACTAGGAGGGGTGGAGGAGGGGGAAAGGGTAGAAGGTCTATCAAGCAAAAGTCTATTTCCCCTGAATAGGCCACGATCCCCCACAGAAGGAATTACTGCGGATCAGCGCACGTCCGTCGTACCTTGTGAAATTCTCGCGAGAGAGGGGTCGTATTTGTCATGTTTTCGATTATTAACTTCTATGTGCTAGTTTTGGGGGAACTTCGCCCATCTTCCTCTCCCTTGGTCGAGTTCAAATTGGAACTTGGTGCGGGGAGGTAGGGGAATTTCGGAAAGTAGTGGGAAGGAGGGAAAGTCAGTAATGTCAGTCAGAGGTTAGGTAAGGTGGCGAAGATGTCGCACTGAAAAGGGAAGTTTGAGGGGGTTTTATTCCTCGAATTCTACCCAGTAGAAGCAGGTGAAGGTGGGAAGGTTACGTTGCTCTACAGATTTCATCATGAAACTACCGCGGAGCTCTGGCTGCCGAAGAATCGGAGGGAGTAGCACATTTGACGAACCCGGAAATGGGCAAGCCTTCAAGGGAGGAGGATTCCGAGTAGGAAGCCACTTATATGTAATGCGTGAACAGTTAGCATATGTGGG